CCCCTATGGCGCTTGTTCTTGACCGTATTGTGGTCCATGTTCACGACTTGGTGAATTTTCACTTGTGTCTTCGCTGGCGAGAACACCACTGGAGAATACTTGTATGCCTCCATCAATCCTTTCCAAGAGATTCAGAGATTTTCTTTTATTGAAATAGGGAAATGGTGCACACTGCAGTCACTGGCGTTTGTCCAGACACATCCATCTCCAGCACCTTTGCACATGGTAAGACAGCACTGCTGGAGGTCGAAGCGCAAGATGCTGCCCCTTCACCGAAAGATAGCTTACTCACAATGTGAGTAGATGGTATTCATCGCAAGCGCAAAATGCCGCCAGATTGATCGGTCAAGAAGCTGGCAGTAGACGAAGTGCTGGCGGGAACCCTCGCATGGGTGACTCCACCGAAAGGTACGTGCATTGCCGCCAACTTCAAGCTGCCCCTGGCCGGAAACGTGGCCATAGTGCAGGCTCAAAAGCCTGACACACGGTATTCGGCGCGTGGCGGTCCAACGTGGACCCCACTGCGGTCTCCGTACAGGTGTGTGCTACTTTGCCAAGCCCCGTTCGCAGCGGTGTGGCAACCACAGTGGCCGTCCCATCCTAGCGATGCCGCAGAGGACAGCGATGTACATGTCGAAACTCGCCATTGGACAGGCAATGATTGCGAGCACATGTCAAAGCATTTCGTTTAACACAGCGCCAAGAGCTCTCGATGGCTGGCAATGCTTCATGCACGGGAGGCAAATCAGAATCCCTGTCCTGTCGACGAGCTCAAGGTCTTCGGAATGAAATGAGCGCTGGATTCCTCGGGCACTAGCGGCTTGGGAAGCAAAGCAAGCCTCAATAAAAAAGAATTTTAGAGTCAGAGTGTACGACTGCCTTCGGAGAGGAACGACGCAGGACTATTGTCGACACGCGCTGGATTGACTGGCCAGCACGCGCTCCTGATCCGTTGCAAGGGTAAATGGCATCACAGTCTCCGATATTGGAGTGCACTCTGCTGTCTTTCCCGACGTCAAGACGGCGCTGAAGCAATTGTTGCGGCGTGTTTGCACTGCTATCGACGGATTACGAGAGGCAGCGAAAGGTGGCGGCGTAGTTGCCGTCGCTGCTGAGTAAGACGGCGCCGCTCTTGAACTGGTCGGCGAGGTGTTTACTTTCGCGACTACACTATGGAAAAGGCAACAAGATTTGCACGGAGACCTCGACCTTATTAACCAGAGTCCGCAGCAGTGCAGCCATACATACGCACACAGACGCGCAGTGCTGCTTCGAGTGCACTTGTGTTAGAAACCCAAGCAGCGTTTCGCTTCTGACTCAACGGGCGATGCTATTGAGATAGAAGCGTCTACATACATGGCAAGCAAAGCGCCGACCAGCCCTCTCTGCTACGGCGAGACCTCCACGTGCACAGGCGCAGTAGAGGCCAAGCATGAATGGAGTTTACAGTTAGACACGGTAACGACTGGCTGGGTATGGACTTGTTTGTACCTTTAGACTCCCTCGAAAGTAAGGAAATTTTGGCTTTTTTTGTGCTTGAACTTCGATTTCAAACTTCAACCAAAATTGTTTGAGCGCTGTTTCTGCGGAGTCCCTACCGCAACCGATTGTAAATGCCGTTAGACTATTCTACTACAGTGAGTAAGCAGATGAAGGTATTTACTCTATCTGGTAATTCGTTGAAAGTATGCTGATTGTCGGTCGCAGAAGTGCAGGGCTTCTATTTTTTTACCCAGCAACCCTTTCGCCTGGAAATTCCCTTTAGTGTCAAAGCTGTTGATGGCGCTCTCGCCATTAAATTGATAGAACGAGGGGCTGGCCATGTAAGGCAAAGCAGGCTCTGGGATCTGGGAAACACCCGGGGGGGCTTCAGTGGCCCTCGTACGCTCATAAAACAACGCCGTTCGTTCGATGGAATGAAAGGATCCAGTATCGACGGGAGGGAGACTGAACTGAACGCCTGGGAAAGGGCACGAGGCCAAACTGAAGCGCTCGTAGAGCTCATTTTCGCCATTGCGAACTCGCAGTCGTCGTCAAAGTCTTTGGCTTGACGACGGCACCTTGAGGCCGTGGAGAGAAGCGGCGATCAAGTCACGCGACGGCAGAAAACGGAAAACAAAGACAGCTGAATGAATGTGCATAGCCCGTATTATTTACCGCCGACAGATGACGCATCGACGGTGTGGTCCACACGCGAAATCTTTGAAAAGAAACGCTGTTCCCATCCCAACCGAGACACCCTCACTTGCCAACGTGCTCGCCCGGCAACACTTGACCCACACTCCTGGTGTGTTTTGCCACCGCAGCTTTTTGCCACGCAACAAGCCGCCGCCCTTTAACACTAGCCTAAAGTGGCGCAGCGGCAACGCACCACAGCCAGTCAGCCATGCAGCCACACACGCTCAAGCGCACCATCTCAAAGTGTTCCATGGATGGGGACTCGCCCGACTCCGCCGCCTGCAAAAAGTTCTCGTCGGGGCTGGACAACGAGCCCGTGCTGCTGCCGCGCGAGCAGCGCGCACCCAGCTTCCCGCCGCTCGACGAGGACGAGCCTGAGGTGTCCCCCATTTGGGGCGACGCGGCCGCCTACGTGCTACCGTCCAAGATTGGCTCGGACTTTGAGGCCGTTAACGTGGCAGCAGTGGCGCCCATCCAGGCGCCGGCGGACAGCAACAACAGGGACGAGATCTCGGCCGCCGGGATGCTGGCCGCAGTGCTCGACTACCTGCGCGACGTGGCGAGCTACTGCAACCGCGCAGTGAACTTGAGTTTTGCACAGCTTCGCCAAATGTTGCAGTCCATCCCCTTCGCGGTGGGGCAAATGCAAAGCGTGGTTAAGGCGAGATTGGAACTTTCCTGGCCGCTTGTGGCCGCCTTTGTACAAAATGTTACGGGGTTTATCAGTGACGAGGACATCCGCGACGCGTCGGTGGGCGAGCTCGCTGCTTTTTTGCAAACGTGCCAGACCGACTACCCCATAGTGGCCGCACCCGGCAACATTTGCGCCAACCTGTTCGAATTTTTCCACGAAGTGCTAACCCAGTTCAAGCAATTTCTGACCAAGCGGTGGCTGCAAATTGGCAAAATCAGTTTCCCCTGCGAATTCGGCAAAAAATCGGATTCGCTTTTCCTCTGCATGGAATGCCATCGCGAGCACATGTAGAAGTTTAACCACTGGGCAACGGTTTATAAGAGTCGATCAAGTGCAGAGGACACAAAAGAGAGAGAGGCCAAGCAGTGCGCTGCCTCTTTTTTTCTCTTCTCAAATTGTAGCACCTACCGAAGGTTTCAAGGTGGAGTATCAGGGATCATGTACACAACGTGGATGTGAAGGGGGTTTAAGTTAGTTAGTGTGACTCGGGCAGGTGTCAAGTCTAGTTGCCTTCTCTTTTGCTAATATCATAACATAATTTATTCATGACTGTAAAATGTCGAGTTGCTCCAGTTGAAAGTGGAGATGCTTGGATAGTAAAATGTCGCGGCGAGCAGCTTTAACCAACGGCATGGCAATATCAAGTGGCAGTTTGTATCGAGTCATGAGCAACGCGGCACACACGCCAATGGAGGTGGAAATCCCGCTGTCGCAATACAATAACAAGCCTCCATCTCCAGGATTTCGAGGTGCTTGAGGTGCTTCTGTTTGTGGTCGAGTGCCGATGAGATCGTTAAGTGTGGAGGCGATGCGGGACATCTCACTGCAGGAAGGAGAAGATAACGTCTTCAGCTGCTCAGCACCATTAGTAGTTGTCAAAATGGCTTCGAACTGCTGTCTGGGCAAATCCAAAAGCGCCACGACATGATACGAACGAGATGGGACGACACTGGTGAGTTCACGTGTCATCCGAGTCTCCCTGTTGCTCGTGGTGCAGTACACTAAATGTTGGATGTCTCTCTCGTCCAGGAGCTCCAAGTACCTCAGTGTTTCCGTCGAGCCGATCCAGATGCCTGGTGCCACCAGTTGCAGGTCGTTCACAACACCGACTTTGACGTCTTCCGGTCCGATTCTTGCCCAGTTTTCACTGGCAACGTTCTGTTGATCTCCGATGCAATCCATCCAAGCCAAGCGGAGACTCGAACGTGCATGTACCATGACATCTTCATGTCTGACGTGGTTAACCACAAGTTGATGAAAAACTGCCAATTCCTCGCGAAAAAGCTGCCGTTTCCAGCTCACGTCGCCGTCCCCACCGCCATCCGATGGCAACAGCGCCGCCATCTCCCAGTACGCAATGCAGAAACGCAAGTTGAGCATTTGCACCTCGAGCGCATGCTCATCCAGCACCGTGTTTGGCATTGTTGCCATGATTCTTACGTTGTAAGTGGCGTTACAATAAGATCGCATACATTTGTGACCATCACTCCTGTATTGACTTCAACTTCAAATATTCGGTTCTGGGTCATTGCAGATACTGTGGCATGGCTGATCCCGTGCTGACGATGTACGCACGATACTCGCGCCCGATGTACGACTGCGGAATGCCCGCCACTTGAAGTTCAAGCGGTGCAGAGGGCGGTGCGCCGCTGTGCGAGCTTGCAGACGGGATCCTGCCCCCGCTGGATGCGATTTGGACACTGGCAACTGTCTCCTTCGAGCGAGGAGAGAGCGCTGCTGCTGGCAACGGGGGCTTGTACTGACGTTGTATTGGACTGTCGTGGCAATGACTCTCGTCCTTGTCACTACTGACGGTTAAAACCGGGAATTTGTCGGTGATATTCTGCTGCTCTATCCGATGCAACGACCACCATTCGGACTGCGGAACGTACCAAGCGCCATAGTTAGCCTTAGGAGGAGACGGCGGTGGGGACATTGACGCCGGCGTACGCAACTGGCGACGTGGCGCTGTTTTAGGAGGTGCGGGTTGACTGTCTTTACGTCGTTTATCATTGATAATAGCTGAAGTTTTCGATTGCTGACGTGGCGTATGGGACCGTCGTCCGAGTAAAATATGTTGCGATTTCATTCGATGTGGTGGCGAGGGAGTCAACGTCAGCAGCCTCTCGGGCACATCCACCGCAGACTTTGCACCAGTCGATTTCTGCCAAAAGATTCGCGGTCCTTCGTCCTGTTGATTGAGCTGCTGCAGTCTACGACGTTGTCGTCTGTACCCGGTCTGACTGCCACTCAAACCGTCAAGACTATCGTCGTCATCGTCGTCGGAATAGTCAGTTAGACTGCCGAGCGACCACAATGCTGTGAACTTGCGCTGCCTTGGCTGTACTTGCTCCTTGGACTCGTTGTGTATAGAAGTTTGGATAGATGGCTGGTGTGGTCTCGCACATTGAGTACTTCGCTGTGTTTTTGTGTCTTCCGATTGTCCGAGCCGCGGATACGTCGGTTCGACTGCTAGATACTCCATATCGGCCAGAATCCGATCCAGCATAGCTTTACGCTGCGTCTCACCCATGAGATCGTTTAGTGTGCGGCTGACACGACCTTCAGGAAGACTATTCTGTTGAGGTGCAATTTGACAAGAATTCGTTGCGTTTGGCTCCTCTGAGTCCGTTTCTTGTGTTTCAAACATGTGAATGAGTCGAGACGGTGACCCTCGAGATGCTTTTGACTCTGTGCATTTAGGTTGTTTGTTGAAAAAAAGTTGTGGTAGTGGTTTTCGAGGTGAACCGAAATGTGGAGGCTGTGGATTCTTGTGCTGCAGGAATCGCCATTGAACTTCAAGACAGTTGGTGGTCGGTGGAGAGAGATCTCGACTTCTGCGGGTCAGAGGACTACCCTGGTGTCTTGATGGCAATACGTCTTGGCTCATGATAGTCGATCCTCAAATTGACCGATAAGTGCAAGTCTTCAACTAAACTATAATTAGAGTTTTTTTTTTTTAGCATGTCTGGTCAAGACCTTCTCCATAATACACAATTTTTATCAACCCGGACACATGGCAATGGAGATACAACAAGGAGATTTTGCAGATATTACTCAAGATACGAGCTTCGTGGTGCCTGAGAGGTTAAGTGAGGATAACTCACACCAGAGTCCACGCTTCCCTTCTCGCAAAGTCCATTCTGCTGCAGCGACTTCGAATGGATTTGGTCTTAATGATATTCTCGACGACATTCCTCGACCATATACCGCTGCCGGTGTGGATGAATATCCGAGTCGACAACGCAAGAAAAAGTCGGTTGGGATCAAAAAGACCGCGAGAGACAGCAAAACGCCACGTGAAGATCGGCCACGCTCGGCTGGAGTGAATGAATGGGGGGATTTTGACACAGATCGACTGCTAAGAGATGACTTTGAGGAGGCCGCAAACCAGATGCCACCAGATTCACAGGATAGACAGCGATCTAGATCAAGAAAAAGTCGACGATCGAGTCCTGCACCGTCTTCTCCACCTGCAAATCCATGGGAAGGTTATCTCACCTTGACTAACGAAAGTAAAGAGTCCTCAAAGCCACCGATGCAAGTGCTTAGACAAAAAGCGATAGAAATTCTTAATCTGGATTTTGTGACGCAAGGAAATCAATCATCTAGTAGAGCAAGTGTGACACCAAAGCCCCTAATTAGTCGAGCGTCGATGGAGAGACTACTGTCGTCACATTCTAGACCAGCAACAAGCCACACGTCCTCACAAACCCCTCTCTTTGGTACTGAAATCCAGAACACATCAGCAAATCGAGCTGTTATCTTCGGTCGATTTGCAGATCTGTGGTCACTCATTTCGCGTAATCGCTCTTCAGATTTTGAATCGACCGACAACCACACAAAATCTGCGGTGGAATGTAATACGGTTATGGTGAAATTGTGCAAAACAGTCGGGATCTCGCTCACGTCTTCGGTCGCTACTCGCTTGTCGTTCTGGAACACAAACGACCAAGGCGTTGACTTTGAATCATTCTGCGATCTTGTGCTTCAGGGTGCTATCCAGCCAGCTCTTCACCATTTCAACTTGGATAATTCCATGGCTGAATATGTGGCAGCGCTCGATACAATCATACAGAGTCTTACGACGACGGAACCAACTCGACGCTTGAAGCAACTCAATGAAATCCAACCGGTATTTAGGAGTTGGAAAGCTGGCATTTCGCCTCGCTTAATTCAATCAGCAGAGGTTTCTACCATGACACCGATAAACTCTGTAGTTACGGCAGAAAAGGTGAGAAAAGCTTTGGAAGCTTCAGCCAGTCAACACATGCTCGCACACCAGCTCCCGTCTGAAGAAGCACGAGTCACCCGCGTTGAGAATATCCGGCGTAAAGTTCAGCTACACAAATCATGGAAATGTTCTAGCGATGAAAAACTTGGGGTGTCTAGTCCAATAACGCAACTATCTCGTGGTGGATTAAACTGTAGCGATGGTCAACGAATTTCCACGTCGAAAGCTGCCGATCTTGCCGAGATGTTAGACCGTGCACGCATAGTGTTTCCAACGAGTGCCAGGAGTGACCTTTTTCCTCAAGATGAAGATCAACCAGAACATCCAACTCAAACGAACGACCCGGAAAAGGAGATTGAGGCTGATAATGAAGAGGTTATCGTGTGTTGTTCCTGCTCCGTTCGGGCTGCAGAGTTGTGGTGTGCATCATGTTTCACAGTAAACTGTCAGAAGTGCTGGCAAGACGTTCACTTTTGCACCGTTGACATGTCAGTCGTGTCTTCAGGATCTTCAGCGAGAAAAGCGCTCTTGGGACCTACCGCTCTTGGTATGAAGAAACTCAGCGGAAGTGCCACGTTGAGACCTCCAGTTTCCATGGTATATTTACCAACGAAAGCGATGGTATCCGGGACATTGGTAAAAGGAGTTCGACACATCCGAAACACCTCCAATCAAGTAAATGCACTCAAAGACGAGGTCCCCGCGGTTACAGCCAACGCCATTTTGCCGTCTCTTCACAAGAGTCGGTCAAGTGGCACAATACCGCGCCATTATCATCGCCCTCAAGTGGAAAACATACCCACTCGTGCAACAGATTCAACCGCTTATTCGACGCTTGGCAATCAATCCACCGGGTCACACAGGTCGACGGGTCTGCAGAAACATCACACACCATCGAGATCAAAACTCCATCTTGCTCCTGTATCGATCGATGCCGAATTGCTACTATCAACCACACTAGATCGACGAAGATAAAGTGGCAATGCA